AGGACAACTTTCTTCACTAACTTGTGCAGAGTGAAGAGATCTTTCAAACCATACCAGAATGAGCACAATTCAGTCAAGGACACCGGAGAAACAAGCAAAAAACCACGTGACATTGACCTGAAAATCTCCATGAAAATCTTGTCCCATTACCCACCTACCTTTCCTTTCGCCTAATCCTAAGATCCTAAAAGCTTTCCTAAAAACTCTTCCCACCAAAATCAAGCCTACTAAATGCCCAGCAAGAGAAAAAAAAAATGAGGCAAGAAAAGCAAAAAAAGAAGGGAGGAGAGAAAGCGAAAAGTAAAAGTCAAGACTGCTGTGTCACTTTTAAACCCAAAAACTATCTCGAAATTTTGCTTTCTGCGCATGCCCGAACTTCGCAAGCTGATATTTTGCATCTGGATCGGAAGACCGCGAAGTGTTCGACCTGTAAACCAGTTTGTGGTAAGTTTTAGCTCTTTATAGCACGACAGTGACCAGAAAACCACTCGACTAGCTTCAAAACGCGTTTTTCGGCAAAATCTCTAGGAGCGAATGGGTTAAGTGTATATCGATGTTGATACATGAAAATGTGGATACCCAGTGACTATTATTGAAAGATATTTACTAAGTGGATACGCGGATACGTAGTGACTGAGTTTCCGCGTATCCACCTATCTTTAGGGGTTGCCTTAAGGTGGCAAGGTATTCTACAGTTAAGCCAACTAATGCCGATAACATACACAGGCCACTGCAGAAAGATTAAGAAGCTGATGTTTAGAGTGCTATCCAAAAGGGCTACTGCTAAGAACATAAGTTTCTTTTTATGCATTATGTGTACGTTTGACTTTCTAGTACCCACACTAAGAGACTAATGCAAACTTAGGTTGAACAGGACACTGTTTTAATACAACTCTTCCTGTTTTACAAATTAAAATCATGACTGTTATCGTGATGCAGACCAGTGCGTTTTCAACAGGAAAAGCAGGATGGTCTGTTTCATAACAGAGTCATAGTCAGTCTAGAAATACAGTTTCTCGTTACACTAAAAACAAAAGAAATAGGGGATACGTTGGACATCAAAGGTAAATATCCTTTAAGAGTAAATGTTGAACAAGACAACTTACCACGTAAATCGAGTTCTCTGTCTCGCAAAGCGTTTGTGTATTGGGGACTTTGCAGAATAAGATCAGCTGTTAGCTTCATATTTAAAGCTAATTTCTTTACGTGGAATACCGAGAAGGGAAACCAAAAAGTTACTCAACAATTTTTTGGTTTTATCTCAATAAGAGAAACACTTACAGACACTGTCTTTGCGAGTAAACTCAGTTTGTCACTAGCAAACCGCCATGTTGGAAAGGAATACGGCACGTGAACGTTGCTCGCCCCAGTACTTTGCTGGAGAGAATAGAACGCCTGGCAGTAATTCACCAAGTCGTAAGAAGTCAAGATGTCTGCCACTCGGTTTGAGTACGTTCCTGTTGTGGAAGTTTCTTCTGACAACTTTTCAGAAGTGTGGCCTTTCATGCTTCGCGCGATAAAAAAATCTTCCTTCGTGGCTGTGGACACGGTACGTATAAAGGGGAATGACTTTACGCGATTTGCGAGGACATAGTTTTATTACAGCTAAGTTTCCACTCTATAAAATTCGAGATTGCTTCGAATCTCTCAATTTAAGACAAAGTTTTCTTTTTTTATGAGGAAAATTTAAAAAAAAAATCATAGGATAAGAACTATTTTTTCTGTAATTTAAACAGGCAGTTTGAATTTACGAGAACAAAATCTTATTCTATGATTTGTTTTAAATTTTTTTCTTAAAATAAGAAATTCCGAATTTAGAGTGTTCGTTTGGATCAAGTTTCCTATAAGTGCAAGCAAAGTTGGAAAGATAATATACTGAAGGTCTTATATATCATAAATTTAACTTGCTTATTTTTAAGTTTTCATTGTTTCTTCCTTTAGGAAATGAGTGGTATTGGAGACAGGAAGCAACTTATGTCACAGTGAGTACTAAAGAAAAACCGTCATGATCAATCTTACCGTAAATCCTCCATTAGCTCCCCCCCCCCCCCCCCAAATAAGCTCCCTCCCTCTAACAAGCTCCTTTTTTCAGTGGAAGAAAGTTAATACCTCCCCCCACCTCTCTCTATTGTGGTGGGTATGAACTGGCAGATGCATATAACAGTGGCTAACAGTTATGAAACCTTCCTGGGGGAACATGTCCTCGGACTGCCCTACAAGTTTGTGTCTCCAGCACTCAATGTTTGCACTCTGCATCCAGTACCCCCAAATGCTACCGAAAACCCTGGGGAGGGGACTCCTCATATGAAAGGGGTGGGGATGCTTGTTCTCTTGCTTAGGGGTGTAAATTTCAGATTTTAGTCTCACTTAGGGTGTTCTGGGCAAACCCCCTTCATATTTAGCCATGAAGGTCTCGTTTAGGGTTGCACGCGAAAAAATACAAAAATATATATTTGATATGTATATTTTAAATTTGTTTCATTTACTCTATTCACATATATAAATATCCAAGTTTTCTCATTTGTCTGTGTTTTAACATGGTCTCTTTTAGAGGTCAAAAAAGCTTGCGCCCCTCCCAGATTGGTCTCCTTTAGGGCTTTAATTCAAAATTTCCGACAAGTATCCCCACCCCTTTCATATGTGGAGTCCCCCCGCCTCCCGGGCCGAAAACCCTCTTTGTATAACATGCATTATGCTCAATGAAACTCATAAACTTGTTTTTAATTTTTTATTCCACAGATTTATTGAGGACAGGTACAAATACATGTGTGAAGTTGCCCAATCCAGAGCAATACTTTCTCTAGGAATTTCCTGTTTTAAGTTGAAGAAGTTAAAGCCCCACAAGGAGACAAAACACAAGGAATCAGATGAGATACTTAATGTCAAAGTCAACACTTTTAATATTGTTGTTCTTTGTTTGGAAAATTTTATTGTGGAACCAGCTTCGTTAAAGTTTTTGGTTGAGCATGGATTTGATTTTAACAAACAGTATTCCAGAGGAGTGCCCTACAGAAGAGGAGACGATCAGGTGAGTGTGTATTTTCCTCAGAAGGTTGGAAAGAAATTTAAAAGTGCAACAATAACACACCTTACTTGCATATCCTGATTCCCTATTAATTGTGCCCTCTTAGTATGTGTGTGTGTGTTGGGGGTGGGGGGGGGGGAGCAAGATGCATCTGGTCTGATTTTAGAAACCTGTTTGTATTCTGTCGGTCAGTATGTTACTGTTTCACTTGTTTTCATTGCTTCAATTTTATCTTTGTTTCATTTGTGGCTATTTTATTAATTTTATTCTTTTGTCACTGTTTTAACCCATTGACGTCCAGGACTTTTTATGTTTTCGAGTGATTTTCTACATGCACACAATCCAAACAATTTCGTGACTCCAAATTTGGGGCTACCATGGAAAGTGGTACTGTCCTAAAACGTTGAAGGCTCGAGTTTTCTGACCATGTCATTATGATGTAGTCATTTTGCCTTGTTGAGCTAAAATAATGTCTCAAGTATATGGTTTGTATGCGATTTTTGGTAAGGGTACAGTCAATTTCATCTTTAGTGGCTGCCTGATAAATATCATTAAGCATGACGGCAGTGAAGAGTCCACTTTCTCAAAGAAGCAAGTAAGGTGATGTACTTTGTTTGCAAATTTGGCTTGTTCCTTGTGGAACTGGAAAAATGGCCCCTCCGAATTGAAGTTGCTATGGGACTCAACTACTGATGAATTTCTTGACCTGCTACTGCATATTTTGGAACTTACAACCACTGGAAATCACAACAATTTCGAAATTTCTGTGGTAGGTCGGAGTGGCCGTGGACTTAGTATAAACATGGAAAAAGTGGGGGAAGGAATGAACCGTGTCAAAAATTCTGGCTATTTCCCAGCATGCATTGCAGTCGTAATGTTGAAAATGGAGGCAAGGCCAGGATGCACTAGAACAAAAGGTTGTAGCTCAGCCTTGGAAACGACTAAGAACAAAAAAGGCACTTCTAAGCTAAGACAAGGACTGAATCTTACTGTGAATGTCGACTTTTGGTTTTGCAATGATGATCTCTGTAGAAAACCTGAAGGTATAAAACATGATTTTTGTCGTTTTTCTATGACTTTGAAAATGGTCATTTTTGTTCTTGTCCAAATTCAAAAAGTGATATTTTACAAAAAAGCTGACTTTTTGGCATTTATTGGATATCGCAATTTTAAGGACATTCTACTCAATGCTCAGAACTGACAGTTAAGGCAATGTTCATGTGATCGAGAAAACTGCAAATGTCTTAAAGCAGCCTTGTAGGGTCAGTTGGCTGTCAGTGGGTTAAAGCAATCTTTACCGTAACAGGGCCTCAGTAATATTACTGCTCATGGTCAAGCCTTTAGTTAAATAATATGGCATCTTTAATATTATAACATACTAGTAAATTAATTTTCTTTGATGTATAACCAAATTTCATGATCATGTGAAAAATGCGCACACCCTCAGTTTTGTCAGCAAATGTGTTTTGAAAACCTATTAGAGTGTCAAACAAAATTAATTAGAATTACTGTGGTTTCCCTTCAATCACTTCTTCAAAGCAGTCTGTACATACATGTAACTTTTACCTTATTTGTTTACACAATCTGCTATGCACACAAATGAAGTGGCCTGGAAAAATCCTTTTGTGCATTATGCACCTGCTAGTACGGCTTGTCATTATTAACATTGTAGAGACTTTGATGTTTTTAAATGAATACAAAACATTTTTCTGTTTGTCTTGTTTAGATTGTCAACAATATGTCAGAACATTCTCTGAGAAATCTTTTCAGTGAACTCGTCATGGCAAATAAGCCACTTGTTCTGCACAATGGATTCTTAGACCTAGTGTTCCTTTATGAGAATTTCTACTGCAAAGTGCCAGACAAACTGCAGGTGTTTACTGCTGATGTGTCCGACATGTTTCCAGCAATAATATTTTTTGATTTTATCTATACTGTTTTTGTCTTTTGTGTTTTTGACGTAACTGAGAATCTTTTGCAGTACCATATATCTTTTCTTTTTGCTTTGTAGTCAGCGATGTAATGAGCGCAGCCAAAAGCATGAGGAAAAACACGTGTGCTTGAAATTTCCTGAAGAAGCCTCACTTTTATGTTTTACTGAGGAATTGTTCTGTGGCGCACGTGATGAAACTGAGGCTGTTCCTAATGTTTTCACTGTCTGTGAGAAGTTTGCAGTAAGTTTATCATAGAATACTTTTCAAGTGATTGTTGTCATCAGCCTATTTTTGAAAAAAATTATTTTGGCCTAAACAAGATGCCAGGACAATGTATCAAATGCCCATCAGATCTTGACAAGAATACTAACCTCTTGTTGCAGGAAAATACTTCAGATACTTTTGTGTAGGCAAGTCACAATTGGCCTTGGTGAATGTGTTTCTTCTCGCGAGAAAGTGTTAGAGTTTTTGTAGCCATGCCATCACAATTTGTGTCAATAAGCATAAAACAACTGCCAAAAAGCACTTTCAGGACTTATAGTCTGGACAGTTTCACTTGAAAAAGACTGCTAATTTGAACTGTTGGACATATTTTCTAAGATGCTGTTTTGCATTAGTCTGAAATGCTGGTCGTCTCTTCGCCCCACCCCCCACCCCCCAACGGGTGGCCAATCTCCCTAGTCTTGTAACCCATTTGGGGGGAGGGGGTGGGGTTACATGAAGAGATGGCTGAAATTTCAACTACCGGTAGTTTGGAATAAGCATCTGTTCAGCTTCCGTTTAGGGAGTCATATTTTATGACTGAAATAGTACTAATGTTCAGGCTTTTCAGGAATTTCAAGCTTCTATTTCCTGCTTGAGCAATAAACGCTTATCAACGTAAGCTGTTTATGTAGAGTATTGCTGTTTCAGTGAAAGGACTTAAGGAAGTGCTTCTTTTTGATTCTCCACAGGCTCATGGATTTTGCCCTCGAGAAAAAAGCTGCCCCTTTTCACATGATGTTGATGATGTTTTGGATCGAGAATGGAAAGCAAGAGAATCAAAGAGACAAAAAAGGAAAAGAAAACAAAAAAGCTCAGGTGATGGATGTGGCGTGCATGTGTATGTGCCTAACAGTCCCTTCTCTGTTAATATGAAACACAAAGTAAACAAAGATATGCACATAAAGAGAGAACTTCATATGAATACGGATCCAAAAACTAAAAATATGGTGACTTTTCCAGCACTAGACCTTCATCAGTTCGTTTGTCTTAGCCTTTTTAAAGAGCAAATGTACTTTATCAATGATCAACCTAGTTTTCGCGTTTTTCTTTGGTTTTGACAAATTCCCAGAATAATCTTTTCAAATATTGTAGTTTAATCGATTGATGGGCGACTTCTTATCAAATCCAATCAATAGGAAATGTTTACAGTCTAACCCCATGTAATAGTCTTTTTTAATATATGAATTTATTTTCACACAGGCAATAATGCAAATGACACACAAACGGCCTGCAATAACAGTGTGATGGCAGAGGATAAATCTGAGCATTCACTCACTTGTGATAAGCAGGAAGGTTGCGTGACGTCATCGCTAGATGGCCACGTGAATCAATCCATCAAAAAGACTCGTAACTGCGGACACAGGGCGGGATTTGATGCTTTTATGACAGGCTATTGTATGACGACATATCTTCTTCAACTTGGCAAGAAAAATGACGAAAATAAACTTAGCCTCTCCTCGCTGGGGGAAATTGCAAACAAATTGAGCCTCGCAAAGAAGGACGTCCCTCTGCAGATTGCGCGGAGTCATTTTTCCAAGCCTTCACCATTGCACACAGAAAAACTAAAACGACTGAGAGAAAATTGCGCTTCACAAAGTCTGGACCAGTAATTTGGACAGTTTGCACCTCAAGTCAGAATCGGATTTATGGACATGGATGTTGATCCAAGTTTTTGAACTGTCAATTGAGGACAAACTCTAGATTTGTTTAGTGAATTAAAGATGTTTCAAAAGTCTTTTTACGGAATTATTTTAGTCTTTAAGGCGCACTTTCGCTATAACTTCGAGGGACCTGGAGAAACTTTAAGCGCTCGTTTCCAGTACTCTTCTAACTAACCAATTCCCTTCAATTTCGTTCCATAGCTGGTGCACAAAGGTTTAGGAAACGTCTATTACATGTCTTAATTTTATTTCGTTTATTCTATCTAAAACATATTCAAACACTATTTTATTACCTTCTTTTCTTAAAAAATAAAGAAAAAACAATAATAAACCCCTTTCGAAAACTCCCATTTTTCGACAATTTAAATCAATATATTTATACTCTAAAAAGGATTTCTTTCTATCTAGAATTTACTCAAACACTATTTTAAACCTTTGAATTTTCATGAAAAATCAAAGGTTAGCTCGGTAGGAAAAATATATTTTTTTCTTTCTAGAACATAATCAAATAAAAGTTTATGGCCAATTCTGACAAAAACTAAGCATTAAAAAAATTTCAAATTTTTGGCCAAACTCATCAGCTAACCCGTTAAAAAAGTGCAATTTTTGGCCTACATGAGATCGATAAATTTATAGTGCAATAAAGCTTCTTTTCTATCTAGAACAAAGTCAAACACTATTTTATGGCCTATTTTGACAAATACGTGTTGTTATTTTTAATCAAAATTGTTCATAAAAAACTGTTTGAAAATTTTCAAGATAAAAAAAAATATATTTTTAAACTATAAAAAAATCGATCTTTTTAGGAGCCAAAAATGTATTTTTCCAAAGGGGTTAACCCATAATTTTGGCCAAAAATTGAAATTTTTTTAAACCTTATTTTTCAGCAAAATTGTTTATAAAAAAACTGTTTGAAAATTTTCTAGATAAAAAAGAACTATTTCTTACCTATAAAAAAATTGATCTTTTTAGCACCAAAAAGAGCATTTTTCCAAAGAGGTTAACCCACGATTTTCTCAAAAAATTCAAAATTTTTTCAACCCTTATTTTTCATTAAAATTGTTCATAAAATACTGTTTGAATATTTTGTAGATAGAAAAGAACCATTTATTAACTATAAAAAATTCAATCTTTTTAAGAGCAAAAAATGCACTTTTCCAAAGGGGTTAACCCATGATTTTGGCCAAAAATTTAAACTTTTTTCCGCCCTTATTTCTCATCAAAATAGTTCATAAAAAACTGTTTGAATATTTTCTAGATAGAAAAGAACTATTCATTAACTATTAAAAATTCGATCTTTTTGGACCAAAAAATGCATTTTTCCAAAGGGGTTAACCTATGATTTTGGCCAAAAATTAGAAATTTTTTCAACTCTTATTTTTCATCAAAGTTGTTCGGAAAAAACGCTTTGACTATTTTCTTGAAAGAAAAGAACATTTTTTGACTATAAGAAATTCGATCTTTTAGGACCAAAAAATGTATTTTCCCAAAGGGGTTAATCCATGATTTTGGCCAAAAATTCCAAATTTCTTTCAACACGTATTTCTCATCAACTCAACTCTCACTGAATTTTTTATGGTTAATAAATAGCTCTTGTCTATCTAGAAAATATTTAAACAGCATTATCACGACCTCAAGCTTAAAGTACTAAAATTAAATACCTTGCAAAAAATGCTAATCTTCATTGCTTTTTCTTTTTTAAAACCACCGCCGATGCCATTAACATCCTCTATTTCTCAACTTACAAATACGTCCATTAGCACAGCTGTCCAATCGGGTGTGGCCGTGAAAGCTGAATAATGAATGTGTTATCCACCTCGGCCTTCGGCCTCTGTGGATAACACCCTCCTTGATCTGCTTAATTCTTCATATTCTACCCAGTATCATTCATTAATTGCTAAATAATGAATAATTGGGTTTGGAAATCAGGAATAATGAATAACACAGCCATGTTAGCCATGTTAGTAGTCTAGTCGTTTTTTGGATGTCACGCAACGCTCCCCTCTTTTGGCGGAGCGTTGCGTGACATCCAAAAAGCGGCTGCGAGGGAGACTTCCAAGTTAGTGGAATAAAGAATAACACATTTGTTTATGTAGTTCCTGATATATCAGTTTTCAGTAGAATCGAGATAGGAGCTTTATATTTATATAATGAAATTTTTGTTTTGGTGAAATCAGTCGGCAATACGCAAAACTACCTTTGCTGCAAACGTCTCCTTCTGGTCCCTCCGAAAAGTCACACTAGGACTACCTTATTACAGGAAATTAACGCTCCATGAAATTAAGGTATTGGAAATTAACGCGACTTAAATTAACGCGAATTTAATGGAAAACGACTTTCGATGGAAGAAAGAAAATTAAAGCGAAAGAGGAGGTGGAATTTCATAATAAAGGAAATTAACGCGATTAAGACTCGGTGGTGACAACTGGAACAAATTTATTTCAACACTGTAGGCAAAAAAATTCAAAACTGAGCTGACAGCGACAACGAAAAAGATGAACTCGAAATAAACCTTCTCCTTAGGGCGCGATCCCCCGGGGGGGGGACTCCCATATGAAACAGACGGGGATGCTCGTCGGAAATTTTGAATTTAACCCCTAAAGGAGACCATCTGGGCGTGGCTCAAGCTTTTTGTGATCCCTAAAGGAGACCAATCTGGGCGTGGCTTAAGCAAATTTTGACCCCTAAAAGAGACCGCTTAAAAACACACAAATACGAGATGCAATGAGTTNGCCCCCCCCCCCCCCCCCCCGGGCGCGATCCATTCAACCAAAATTTCCGGAAATCGCTTTAACGAACAAAATGTGGCCCATAAATTTTGCCCAATTATGTGGCTAGTTCCAGTCCCCGGCCGGTTATTAGCGTAACGCAACCATGTTTTTTTGAAAAATCAGAAATGCGGCAAGGATTTTGTTGCGGGGTTTGCGAAGAATAACCAGGAAAGCTTGTATCGACGAATTTAGACCAAATACAAGTCAAGCAAATTATTTTAAAGGATTCTGGAGGATAACAAGCAAGATAAACGCGAAAATCCAGGTAAGAAAACAGTAAGAATCGCCGAGACGGCTAAGTCTACCACACACACACATACTCTATGATGATACTCTTCAAACGCGACGAATTCCTTCCCGCGTAGCTTTTTGCCTTCAAAGCCTTGCTTATTTTGATGAATTCTATCTGTAAATTCATATATGCTTGTTTTTAACCCGATATCTCGATGAAAAACTAAAAAATAAAGCGTCTTTTAAAGATAAACAGCAAACCACGAGTGTTGAATTTCATTATGCTAATTAGCTTTAAGGTGGCTCCCTAGAGTATTTACTAATGTCCTTAGCTATCTAGCATACGTTACAGAACGAAATCTAGTCACTTTGTCTTTGCGATTTTGTTCACGAGATTCACCGCTAAGGTTACCCATATAAGAAGGCTCCTTTATCAAGTTTCATTTTCTGGATTAAGGCCATTGCCATGGCAACATCACATCCTTAGACAGGCAGTAATTTTGTCATTTTTGGTCATTTTTTCTTAATATTTTTTTATTTCCCTCAGTGAAATGTCTTTAAACTTTGCCACTTTCTATTAACGATATTGCTTAACATTTTAAAGTGGAAAAAACATGGGGTCGTTAAGACAGTTTTGCCAATATTTTGAAATTTGTAATTTTTCTTAATGGAGGAATTTAGCTTTAACAGATTTTAACAAAAATAGGACGGTACAAAGGTTCTGCAACTGTCAAGAAATGAGGCGATTTTTAAAAAAATTTACCGAAGGAAACGCGAAAAATTCACTGTTAATTAACTACGTTGACGTCACAAAAATCCGAAAAACACGCGTGGTTCGGGGTCGTATGAGCAAAATACGCACTCAAGCCATCACGTCCGCATGCACATAATGCACAAAGCTACTGAAAACATGTGGTTTCTTTGAAGAGTACGATAGCCATTGTTTTTGAAGCTGTTTATTAGTATTATTACAGCGATATCTCGCCAGTTGAAAAAGGAGAGATAGCGGATTCAATTTTATACCTAACACAGGATGTTTTCTTCGAAGTACTTGACTATTGTAGCTAAAATTTGAAGCGTGGTGGTTACTCGTGAGGATGGCGATCGTCGGCGATGAAGACGGTGGTTGTGCAAGGATCGCAATAAGCCCTTCATTTCCTAATCTGCTGTACACTGTTTGCAGATCTTCAAATGTTAGCCCACTTCCGGATACTTTTTCAACCTTGTTCTTCTTTAGGGATAATTTCGACGGCGAAGTTTATCTTTAAAATTCTGCTGTAAAAGATGGCGCCGATCTATAAATCGTACATTATGTCCTCAGCTACATGTACAAGAACGTAGGTCTCGACGGACAATACTATTGCTTTCGTCAAGCTAGGGTCAATCTGTGAGTAAAAATTATTTCTCGTTGTGCAAAAACATTGTCCATTTACTTTGACTATTTAACGTTTGTCTACTTTTGAAGCAAAAGAATTGATGTCTTTGGAAAATTTCTGCTTTGTTTTTACATACAATTTACTCTTTTGGAGATCGATAGCGACTTGTAACTGGTTTAACATTGTCTCCTCTCATAAAAGTTTGACCTACACTAATCAAACTTTTTGCACAATGAGCTTCAATAGAAAGTTAATAAAGTTTTTTTGGGAGAATATTTCGAAACTGAGAGGCCATGTTTGTTTTAATTTTGCGTGGACGTCGCACGGATTTTAAAGCTCGCGCCATACTAGTGCTCAGGCTGCGCATGGCCAATTTACTTTAGGGAGCCACCTAAATCTCATTAGCATTATGTAACAGCGTCAGAAAATAACTTTGTAGAAAATTCCTAGTTGCTCTATATTTTTGAACGATTTTCGGGCTGTTTTGTTTACATATTGTATATCACACAAAATAGACAACTTTCCTGGCAAAATTACATTCTCTATTAATAGCTCAGTCATTTCCAACCGTGCCCAATCCCCCCCCCGCCCCCCCCCCAGGACT